GCTCTGACTGAGTGAGCGTGTTCCCTCAGGTCTGCTGATGGAGGACTGGGAATATTTATGTGCAGAGGTGTCTGCTCGCTCCTAATGTCCACACTGCTTAGAAAGACACTTCTTGGTGGATGTTAACAGCAGGCTGCACTGCCAGAGGAAGCATTAAGGTCTTCGTCATGTCATGGTGTCCTGTCCGATCAGCGCTGGCAGTCCTCGCTAGTGCACACTGGGTCCGTTGATCAGATAAAAGGAAACAGAACCATCAGCAGAAGAAATCATGATATTGGAGAATGTGTCAGTTTGGGATAAACGGTCAGCACCATGGACAGCGTTTACGGCACCAGCCTGGACAGCTTTCCTGTAAATCCTGGCGGAGGCCAATAACAGCAGGTCTATGGAACCAAAAGCACTTCTTCACAGGAAGGTCTGGTCCAGGAAGCCTCCTCAGGAAACCTTTTCCATCATTGTTTGGGACATCATCATTAGAAGGAATGAATAGGATTAGGTTTCAAATTAAAAATCTGCTGGAAGTGTAATAAAAATAAAATCTAGTAGTTTTTCTACATCTTCCATGGGAGTGTGCTTTGGTCAAACCTTTCTGGGACAGAATACTTAAACTCCTAGAGACATAGATAAACGTAACTCTCTATGTCCTCACCTATGTGAGGACGTCTATGTTTGTTCTTGGAGACAGAACAGCAATATCCCGGCTCAGAGAAGAGGCAGACTCAGTGTTGATGGTTGGACTAACCTCAGCTGCATAAATATACTGAGACACTGCAGGCTCCCGAACACCCTGCATCCCAGCAATGGAAAGGGTTAACGACTGAAACTGTGTCATATGAGGTCAGGCTGACTAGATTAGACAATTGGGATATTTTTTAAAGTGTATCTGACTTCTCATTAGTGGCTTCATTATAAGACTGGCAGGAATGAGAACATTACAGTTTTCAACCTTGTTATTCTAATATTTGTTAGGATATGTGTGCGTATTAGACGCATATATTCAATATGATGTTACAATTTACTTTCCCTTTTTTCCCTTCATCATCCAGGAGCCCCTTTTTTTTACTTTAATTCTCTGAGCGTGTGTTATAAGCTTTTATTTTCTGCATATTATACCATTTAAATTTGTAGCGGATTTGTTTGATTGTTTAAATAAAAAAACTTAAATTATAACAGAAAAAGATTTAAAATATTAGATTAACAGAGAAGAACAGTTTAAAAGTATTTAATGTTTACAGAGTTTGTTCTTCCCTTTCATGTCAAACTGGTAAAGATTTCAGAATAAATGTTCTCTGAAGTTTGTTTATTTATGAGCAACTATGCAGATTAACAAACATCTAGAAAAAGCGGATTATTCTATTATTTTCTATGTAATTCCCAGATTGTTCATTCTTCTTTGTCTTTTCTAAAAAGTGCTTTAAATCAGTCTAGCTGTCTTTATCCCTGCTGGGCACATCCTGATGTTTGAAAAAGGAGGAAGGGAATAAATGGCTGAATAAATGGCAGATGATGGGCGGGGGGTGGGGTTGGTATGTGATGTGTTGTGGGGTCGGAGGGGGTGGGGGTTCAAAAAGCATCTCCCTGATATGAGTTTTTGGAACTTGGGATGTCTGAGGGCCCCCTAGCTGTCTTTGCCTAGGGCCCCACATTTCCTAAATCCGCCCCTGCTTACATGAGTGCAGCGCTTTGCTTTGCTACTCTACCTTCCTCTGAACTTTATAAAATGAAAAGTTCAGATGAATAAATAAAGTGACATGAGCTATAAATCTACGCATTACCAGGATATGTTTCGTTGTAACCTACATGAAGGAAAATATTCACCAAATAGCGAGTTTGGTTTATATAACTTGTTTTTAGGGCAATGCCTGTGTCCCTGACCAATATGGCGGCGGCTTTACAAATCATTTACACCGAGCCCCGGCAGCAGCTGCTACGCGCCTTCCGGCTGGATCATGTGACTAGTTCAGAGTGGGAGGGAAAAGATGGCGGCCAATGTCAGCCTCCTAAACATGGCTGTGTTCAGCGGTAGTTCCCGCGGTCTGTGGCCGCCGGTGAAGCGCCTCCAGGGAGGCTTGCTGCTGCTCCTGGCCGCCGGCCTTCTCAGCCAGCGGGTCCGGGCGGATGAGCAGGAGTTCATGGAGGACTTTCTGAAGCGGGAATATTCCCTGGTGAAGCCGTACCGAGGTGAGGTCTGCTGGCTGCCATCAGAGGGACTTTGATCTGGGATCAACCAGGAGCCGCAGTCACCCGGAACCGGAACCGGTGGTCAGGGCTCCTGGCTGCTTATATGAACTTTATTCATTTAGTTTTATTTCACAGTTTTTTATAAAACAATCAGTAAATAAAAACTAGACCCAATCAATCCAAAAGGCTGATGATCATAGATTGGTTTATAGAGCTGCAGCTCTGATTGAGAAGATCTAGATGATTTTTCTATTGTTTCAGTGATTTCCAGTTAGCTTCATTAGAGACAGGAAGATGAAAGCTTTCATTTAACTGATTAATTAATTAGGAGCTGATCAGTTTCCCTCAGATCACAGCTTCCCTTCATCTACTGACAAAGTTCTACCAAAAACATTCATTTTATTTCTAAATGTTAATGAACTCAAAGTATGTTTGGATTAATTGATCTTTTGTTAATTAATGAGATCCTGAGATGATGGGTGGAATCTGTTCTGGTATTTCTGGAGGTTTTACTAAATGATCTTTGAAATGTTTGAATTTAACTTTTTATTTCTGAAGCAGATATTTTCCACCTTAAAAACAGAAAATAGCAGAATAGACTCTGCATGTCTGTTCTTATTAAACCTGAGATTCTAGATCTTAGTTTGTGGCTTTCAGGGTTTAAATTATCCTGTTTTCCCACATTCAATCTGTAGATCTTCAGGATATAGATTGATCCGTCCAGCAGGTAGATCTTCAGGATATAGATTGATCTGTCCAGCCGGTAGATCTTGAGGATATAGATTGATCAGCCGGTTGATCTTGTGGATATAGATTGATCAGCCGGTTGATCTTCAGGATATAGATTGTTCAGTCCCGCTGGTAGATCTTCAGGATATAGATTGTTCAGTCCAGCCGGTAGATCTTCAGGATATAGATTGTTCAGTCCAGCCGGTAGATCTTCAGGATATAAATTGTTCAGTCCAGCCGGTAGATCTTCAGGATATAGATTGTTCAGTCCCGCCGGTAGATCTTCAGGATATAGATTGTTCAGTCCCGCCGGTAGATCTTCA